AGAGTGAGAATGGGGCCCCAGTCTCTTCTGGCTTGTAAGATCTCAGTTGAGAAGTCTGCAGTTAGTCTTATGGGTTTTCCTTTGTAGGTTACCTTTTTCTTTTGCCTTGCAGCACGTAGGAGGGCTCTTTCGTGGTTATTTTGGCCAGTCTGAAGACTATGTGTAGTGGTGTGTTCCTGTTTGCAATGACTCTCCCAGGAGCCCTTTGAGCTTCTTGTACCTGGATATCTAGATTTTTAGCAAGACCTGGGAAATTTTCCTCCACTAACTATATCCCCAAATAGTTTATCAACCCCTGTGTATTTTCTTCTTCTCCCTCAGGGATGCCTATAATCTCATGTTAGGCCTTTTCACATAATCCCATATTTCTTGTAGGCTTTGCTCTTTTCTCTTATTTCTCTGCTCTATCTCTGTGACTGACTTATTTAGTTGGAAGGTGTTATATTCAGTCCTGAGATTCTTTCTTCTGTTTAATCTACCCCATTCTTGAGGCTTTCCACTGTGTTTTGTAATTCCTTGAATAAATTCTTCATTTCCAGAAGTTCTGTTTGATTTTTCTTTAATATTTGAATTTCTTTAGTGAGTTTTTCTTCCAAGTCCTGGATTTCTTTTTGTGTTTTCTTTGTGTTGGGTATCCATTTTCTCTTGTGTATCATTGAGTTTGCTTACAATCCATGTTCAAAATTCTTCTTCTGTCATTTTAGTGTTCTGAATTTGGTTTATATCCATTGCTAGAGAGCTGGTGTTCCCCTTTAGGGGTATGCTTTCAGTTTGATTCTTCATACTTCCAGAGTTCTTTCACTGATTCCTTACCATCTGGAGCAGCTGTTACTTCTTACCTTTCGATTTTTGTTTAGATAATGACATGCCCAGTTTAGTCTCTGAGCCAATAGGTGGTGTTTGTGGGAAAGATTCGACCACACCTTGTATGATGAGTCAGTAAATGCAGTAACAGGGTGTGCAAATTGACCTCCCTGTCAGTAGGTGGCTCTTGCTGGAAGGAACAAGCTGCAGTGTTGTTTTTGGGTCCTGTAACCAGTTCTCATTCCACTGGAGAGGCACTCTAGTGACTCAGGTGGTGGGTGGAGCCCTGGGACTTCCACGTGTGTCCCTATTTTCCACCTAAGTAGGGACAGAAGGGGGAGTGAGGCTGGATGGGGCTGGGTTGGGTGAGCCTGTCCTTAAGCACCACAAATGCTGTTAGCAGGGGTCAAAGGTCTATTTTTTGCTTCTGGGAAAACTGCTAAAAAGTCTGCATATGGGGGTGGGGCTGTCTGAGACCTGCAGTCTGGAGCAAGCCTCCCTCCTCTCCACCCTCCCCTATTCTGTGGTTTCTCCCAGGCCTCTGCCAGCAGGTAGGACCTCAAGCCAGTGGATCTCCTCTGACTGTGATGCGTGCCAGGAGGTTCCCTGCCCAGCATCACAGCCTGAGCTGGGAGCATGACCCTCCCATGGGAGGAGGGTTGCCCCTCAAGCATGCTGCAGCTAGCACCCACTCTGATCTGCCCCTGAAGGCATACACCCCTCAGTAGACTAGTTCACAAATATACCTTCTGTGCCCCCACGCAATGTGATCAAGACCTGGGTGTACAGGATCTGGTCTGTAGGCCTGTCCTCTGGGCCCCGGAGATCAATTCCTGACCCTACCAGGGAGAAGAGTGCTGGTCTCAAGTTACTCACAGGATGCCCAAGCTGGATCAATGTCTCTCTTTCTTGGGGTTTGCCCCGCTCGGCTGGAGTCACTAGGCAAGCAGCACCTGGGAGGACTGGTGGGTAGGGAGCTCACAGTCCTAGTATCCTGCAGGCTGCTGCAGGGCTCCAAAAGGGAGGGTTCCATTCCCTGCAGATGCTTCTCTCTTGGCAGTTGTGGGTAGGAGAGGGGAAGGGGAGAATGAAGCAATACGATACCTGCTGATTGGCTCAGGTCTGTGGGGCAGGAAGTGCCCCTAGGGAGCTAGGAGCCTGGTGCCCTGTCTACAAGAGGCTCACTGCTCACTGGTGGCAGCGTCTCTGGGCTGGTGTTAGCAGCTCTCTCCAGCAGCTCAGGAGCCCACCAGCAGTCTGAGATGCAAGGAAGGGGAAATTTAACCACTCGACCTAACCTTGTCACTGGTCTCCAAGCCTCTCAGGGTTTAGACACTGCCAATGCCTTTCTCCTTCCGGTTCTGCTCTGCAGCTTCATCCCGTGGAGTCTCCTGGAGTTTCAGGCACCCTTCCTTCTGACCTTCATCCAATCTATGTTTGTCTGCCTGTTTGTTTTTTTCACTTTCATCTAAAATCTATCTTTCTTGCAGAGATATTCTGGCTGGTGTTTTTTCTCATCTGCCATCTTCAATCATTTTATTTTGTTCACATACTCTTTGGATTGGGAATTCAGGTGATAGTAGGATGGATTGTCTCTGCTTCACAGTGTCGGAGGTCTCAGCTGGGAATACTTGAATGGTTGGGGGCTGGAATATCCATAGGTTTCTTGATCACAAGGCTAGCACCTGGGATGGATGACTTGAAGTCTCGGCTAAGCTGGGACTGTCAACAGGAGTGTTTGCCTAATGGCCTCTCGATGTGGCTTGGGCTTCAACACAGCTTGGCAGCCTCAGGACTCACACACTTCTTACCTGGTGGCTCAGGGCTCCAAGATCTAGTGTTCCAACAAGTAAGGCAGAGGCTGATGGCCTTTCATGGCCTAGCCTCAGAAGACAAAATATCACTTCTGCCATACTCAGCTGGGTGAAGCAGTCACACAGCCACAAGCCTCACCCAGATTCAAGAGGAAAGGTCTTAACCTTCATCTCACAACAGGAGGCATGTCAAAGAATTGAGGCATGCCAAAGAATTTAAAACTCCTGTTTTTAAAATGCCATGGGAGTATTTTGGGGAGTATATAATCTTTATTGTTTTGAGTGGAAATCAAAGAGAAAATATTCCAAGCCAAAACCAGACGTAGATATAACTGGAATACAGGGAAATTTCATGATTGGATCAAGACTAAAAGGAGAACTTAGGCCAGGGAAAAAAGCCAGCCCCATGTTGAGGCTAGAATAAGTAGAAATGATGGAGCATTTGGACTGGTAGACCTGGCTCACTCTTTATCCTGATCTGTTTACACTCTTAACTGAAGTCGTTAAAATATAGCCTATGTAACTATATGCTCTCAGAGAATATGTTTCAAAACCATTTATTCAGATGGTTTTGTGATGTTCATAGAATGTTTCCTTTTCTAGCCTATATCTAAGTAATGATCATATGGATATTATGCTAAAGTTGAAATGTCCCTTCTCCCTACTTCCTTTCCTTTCTGGAAGACTCTACGTTAGTCTTTATGGCTCAGCTCAGGTCAAACATCATCTCCACATAGCCCTCTGTGATCCCACCTTCAAGTAGAGTTAGGTCCTCCTTGCTTTGTGATTTTTCCCCTGAGAGCTATGTATGTATCTCTTGTAGCACTTATCAGGACATATTAAAATTATTTGCTTTATTGCCTATCTTTGCCACTAGATTGTATGTTTTTCATGGTGACAACCATACCTTATTCTTCTTTGCACCTCCATTGCCTCTATAGTTACTGGTACATTTAGACACTTAGTTAATATTTGTTGAATAAATAACATTCACCTGGAGTTGGATGGAGTACAATTTTCTTATTCCCAAGATTCTCTTAACTGCCTGTGCTCAGGGATGGTCATTCTGCTCTGAAGAATGCCTGAGCTCATGCCCTTCTCCTGAATGCCTTCCAAGACAGTAGTCAGTGTGTTCAAGCATTGCTAGATTTATATCTCCAGCCTAGACTTATCCTCTAAGCTGCAGACTCTATGTCATTTCCATTTTGAGATCTCATGGGGACCTCAAACTCAACATATCCAACTCTCTAAATCAATAATAGCAACAACAAACTACACACACCTGACTCTCTTCCAGTGTTTTCCATCTCAGCAAATGCCATTATGAATCATCCTTGATATCTCCCTCTGCCTCATCCCCCATATCCAGTCATCATCAAAGAGGGCCATTATACCTCCCCCTAAAATATGTCCATATGCATCATCTCCACTGCATTACCTCAGACCAAGTGACCATGTTAGTTCTCCTAAAATGTGGCAGCCATCTCTTAAAAGATCTTCCAGAAGGTATCCTTGCATCCTATCTAGACCATCTCAGATCTGTTTTCCATACTGCAGCTAGGATGATATTTTTGAAATAGAAAATCTGACCATGTCAACCCCAGCCCCTGCAACCCCCAACTAAAAGTTCTTTGATGGTTTCCCACTTCCCTTGGGATAAAGAATATCCTTAATGTGCCCTGTAAGCCATTTTGTGATCTAGTGCTTGCCTCTCTTCCTTTCCAGTCTCTGTGGAAACATTTCCCCCTCACTCTAGTCTGCTCTAGTTAGACCATAACTTTGTCTTGAGATATATTCTTTCCTGCCACAGAACCTTTGCGCAAGCTATATCCTCTCCCAGGAGTGCTTGTCCTACCTTCCTATACCTAGGTAATTCCTAAGCATCCTTCACATATCAGCTCCCCCATCTCTTCTTTAGGGAAACCCTAAGTCTCAGTCAATTTTCTTTGTTATATGCTGTCAGAGAATATGTTTCTTTCCTTTAGTATTTATTTCAGTTCATGATTTTACGCTCATTTGTGTGTTGATTAAGGTCTGTTGCCTCCAGTAGACCATAAACTCTGTGAAACCAGGCACTAAGTCTGTTTGTGTTCACCACTGAGTTGCTGGTGATAGGTGTCTAGTAGGGGGTAGGCAGACACTCTGCTAGTGTTTGCTCCTGAGTGTTTGCATTGCATTGTTTACCTTTCTTGTGGTCATTAGTGATAAAAAAAGAAAACTCTCCTAGAATAGATAGAGGTTACAAGAAAGTGGCATAAAGAATTGCCAACAGGCAGCCAATGTTAAATTATCCTAAGTCTAAATAAAATATGGTTATCTGTTATATAGTAAAACTTTCTTAATCAATTAATTTCAGATCTCTTACATTTAATTTTTTCCAAGGTAAGCTACACTGGAGCACAAATTAGTGTAGGATTTGAAGATGGAGTTGTTCGAATTCTTGAAATTTATGATCCAAAAGGGCTCACGATTTTTGCAGGACGGAAGAAAATTTTGGATGCGGATCTTCAATTGAAACATGTTTTCAAACCCCATACTGCTTCTGTCACTGCTTTAGCTTATGAACATGATGGGGAAATTCTAGCCACAGGGGTAAGCAGTAGGTTTCCTTTCTCTTCCTATTGAAATTTCATAATTAACCTTGTCTTATAAATCTACCTACTTGATCGTGCCTTACTAACTGAAATGTATTTTCTAAGAATATATTTATATTTTGCTTTCTTTGTATTCATATTCTTTCAATGTGGTCTGTGTATAACATTTAAAAATATTCTTACAAATTGAGTTCTAATGCTTATTGGGAATGAATAGGAAGTTTTCACTGGGGATCATGCTAGATGTATTATTTATAATTAGTATTTTACTGAGCATCAGCATGTTCTTATGCAGAACTGCCATAAATGAAGAGAATAACTGTGTAAATTCTTTGTGCATTAATAGGTGAGCATATACATGGTAGAATTTTTGTGAATTAATATTATATACAAGTATGGTGATCACATTTTCAGAACTGCATAGTGGAACACATGGCTTGTCAAATGTGCTCACGGAAAATTAAGCAAAAATTTGAAATAAGAATTCTCCCAGAATAACCTGGGGTATATGACCATTGTAGATATAAGTATACAGTGGATATACTGAATGCTATTAAATGTTTTTTTTGTGATCTATGGACTAGATTTCACAATAATATACATTTGGGGTGTGTGTGTGTCTTTTTTCTTAGAGTAAAGATAGCACTGTATTCTTCTTTGAAGTGGAAAAGGACTATAAGCCAATTGGTTATATTAATACTCCTGGACCTGTTCGCCAGTTAACGTGGTCTGCAATCTCTCATGTAAGTCATTATTAATTGTCTTCATGCTTAAATCTCAATTACTATGTAGTGAAATGATCTTGTAGATGGACACTAGCAGGTGGAATTATTAGCCCCACTCCTGGGCCCTGCAGTGGGGGCCAGGGATGCAGCAACAAAAAGCTCAGCTGGCTGGTACTTGGCTTGGTTAGTTGAGCATCACTTAGGAGCCCCACACTCTCCTCACCACCTCCTTTCTCTTCCATGTTTTAATTAGTTGGCAATGATCCCCTCTCAAAATGCAGGTTTATATATTAGTCTTTGCTTTAACCATGGTAACTTTTGGCCAGAAACACAGCACGTCAAAATGCTTTGATCTGAATCAGTCAGTCTCTCTGACAATCAGAAGCTCAATACCAAGGTCTGAGTGAACCTTTCCTCATCTTTATCTCTACTTCTCCTCTGCCCCCAATCCACCTCTATTTTTTCTTTTAATCTTTCATTGCTTCTTTCCTAATGATTAATAATTCAGTATTAATTACTACTCTCACTTAATATCTCTAATTTTACTAACTGTGAGCACAGGATAATTCAGTCATACAAGTATTAATTGATTGTCTAAACCAAGGTGCTAGGATCATAATTCTGATGACCTGCATGGAAGTGCCATCAGTATTATTGAGGTTACAGTTGTATTCTGCTTTAAGCTCTTCTAAAGAAAGGGCTATAAAAACACATTAGTATTGTCTAGAAAAAAAAAAAAAACGGTTTTTAAAATTAATCAATGGCTACTCATTGTCTTCATAGCCACTGTGGTGGATTCAATAAATAGTACAAAACAGTCCCTGTTCTCAAGGAGAAAA